AAGCTTCTGGGGTTTTGTGCAGCTGTTTTCAGAGATATTTCTAGGGTGCTGTAAGTTTTTAGTTCTTCCAAGGTGTTATGATCTAAGGAGAGGTGTTTACTCCTCTCCTGGCCTGTGCTCTGATCTGTGAGTGACCACAAACACTCTTTTCTGCCCTGGAACTGTGAGGAGGGTTACCTCTTCACTGCTGCCTTAAGCTCTGCTATGCTAGTGCTCTTCCTCACCACAGAACTACCACTGAGGACTACGACCCAGATGCAAGTATGGGCAAAGCAACAAAATCCTGCCTCAGTGCCAGCAAAGAGATCCCTGTAATCTCTTTCTAATCAGTTTGATCCCCTTACTGTCTGTGGGCTGAGATCTACAGAAGCAGCCACTGCCGCCACCCCAGGGCTGTGCTGGGGCTGGGACTGGCCTTCGCTCCTCTCACCCAGGTCCGACAGACCTTTCCTACTGATTTTCTAAGTTGTCTTTGGCGTTTGTGGGTTGAGAAGTCTGGAAACCACCAGAACTGCCAGTAATTCAGTCCCCTGAAGCCTGCTGCAGCCCGCTGGGGCCCAATCTGTGCCAGCCTCGCACTGGCCGGACTGCATTCCTCTCCCAGACTGGCACAACAGACCTTTCCCTTTGACCATCCAGGTTGTCTTGGACTGGAAATTTGTTTCACTATGTCTTTTTGTGGGTTCTGCTGCTCTAGAATTTGTTTAGAGGCATTTTTACAGGTATTTGGAGGGGTTTGGGGGAGAGCTCAAGCAAGTCCCTGCTTTTACTCTGCCATCTTGGTTCCACCCTAAAATAACAGATTCTTTATTTTGGCTAGGCAATGGAATTAAGTGACATGCCCAGGGTCACATAGCTATTAAGTGTTATGTTCCTGAGGCCAGATTTGAACTCAGGTCCTCCTGATTCCAGGGCCCGGTGCTCTATCCACTGCACCACCTAGCTGCCCCCCAGATTCTTAAAATAATGAAATTAACTTGCCTTTTTTTTCCCCTTCTATATCACACTTTTGACTGTTGAGCTTCAGGTTCATGAAAACCGCTCAGTCTTTCTCACATGAACTATTATCTAGCCATAGAAACCTGTCCATCTCTGCTGCCACTGTCCTTGGGAGCTCTGGCTCCAACACCTTTCTTTTCTTTCTTTCTTTTCTGATTACTCTAACAAATGCCCTTTGTTTTAAATTATCTGCAAATTGGATGAGCATCCCCAAGGCAAATATCTTACCACCTCAGGGACCTTCTGACAACCAGTTCTTTCCCCATTTTTTGGGGGGCAATCAGGGTTAAGTGACTTGCTCAGGGTCATGCAGTTAGTAAATGTCTGAGGCTGTATCTGAACTCAGGTCCTCCTGACATCAGGGCTTGTGCTTGATCCACTGCATCATCCAGCTGCTCCTTTCCCCCAATTAAAAAAAAGATACCACTTTCTTCCTACTGCTCCTTCTAACTAGTAGATGACTAAAGACTAGCTTCTTTGCTTGCTAAGTCCAGTCTCTGGGGTCTTGATCTTTTAAAGAGAACAGAGCAAAGTAAGTCTTCATCTTTTGGGCAGTTTCCCACTGTTATGTCCTGGATTGCCTCTTTGTGAAACACAGGTTATGTTGGGACCTTGGGCATTTGTCACTTAGAAGAAGAAACATCTTGGCATGGCAGTGGTATGCTGGATGTCAGCTCTTAAATTTTCATTGTAAGCATTTATATATCCAAAATCTGCAAACACCACAAATTGGGGCTTGATTTATTGTTTTGTTAATTTTAAAGACTTAAGAAAGGGATGGGGAAAATGTTAATAATGCAGATTAAACACAAAAGTGTGCCATATATCCTTTTTTGTTTTGAAAGCTGGTTGTTAAACATTTACCAGCACACCCCTGCACTGACCAGTGCAGGGTATAGTTCTTCTCAGTCAGCTGGTCACCACGTGGTCCAGCTCAGAACTGCAAGAAACGCGGGAGATTATTTACTCTAATCCTATCACTTTATCAAGCAATTGAGGCCCATAAAAGGGAAGAGACTTTCCCATGGTCATACAGATAGCAGAGCAGGAATTTGAACCCAGGACCCTGACATCAAATCCTGTGTATTTTTCATCACACCAAGATTCTTGACCTGAATGCATATATGTACTCTGTGTGGCTGAATTCTTCTCTTAGGCTCAAGGGTACACGTTGGCAGAAGGAGGGAACTTTGTCCAGTTGAACTTTGCATCTGAGGTCCTGCCCCTAGTATTGGTGAAGGCTGTTAGACATGGCCCAATGACCAGTAAAGAAACTTCTTCATTGAAGCAAGCCCTGAAGAGTATGGAAAGTGAGGCCAGGGCCACTTCCAGGGGCACAGAGTGGATTCAGGGAGGGGTGCCCAAGTGGGATCAGGGAGGTCTCCAGAATGGAACCAGGGCCGGTCCCAGGGATACAGAGTCATGGCTTGCCCCCAAGATTTCAGAATGGCCTAGGGGAGGTGGGCTGGTGCAGGGAGGTCTCAGGGTTGAGAGTAGGGCTGGTATCTTGGGAGGGAAGATTGTAGAACAGAGCCAGGGCCCCTTGGTGTACAGGTTCAGTAGCATCCCTAGAGAACTGAGCCATTCCCCAGGGTGGGAAAATCCCAGGATGAGGGGGAAGGAGGGCAATGCCTGTGCAAATCACATTGCACATCATGTACTTTTTTCCCTCTACCAAGAGAAATCTGGTTATAGTAGGTGGGATGATGTCTTACTCTTTTCTTACTCTTTTCTTCAAACCTTGGAAATTATGGGCTGAGTATATATATGAGCTGTCTATATGTCTATATGTATATGTATATATATATATATATATATATGAGCTGTATATGTGTGTGTGTATATATATATATATATATATATATATATATATATGAGCTGAGTGTGTGAGCCTCAACGGTGTTTAGGCAGGGGATAACTAACTTCTCTGCCCCTGACATCAGCTGGCAATGCAGCCCCAAGGCTGTCCAGTTCTGGCTATGGAAGACCTGTGTATATAAGATGGTGGTGGTGGTGATGGGGTTATCCCTTTGCTATCTGCCCTTGCCAATGCTTCCTGGGTCAAGGGTTAAATTTACATGTCCCTGTCTGGGGATAAACATTCATTTATCAAACATGTGTGTTCTTCTGGGAAAGGGGAAGAGCTGGAGGTGGGGGGAGACGAAGATGAAGAAGACCCAGGTCAGCCCTCTGAGGGAACTAAAAAAATTAATACCAGCGATGAAATGGGGACACTTTTGACCATCATATCCAGAAGAATGTGACACAAATACCATATGTGTTCCGAGGAGTGAGGGGGAGGTTCAGATGAGGGAGAGAGCATTTTGACTGGGGGAGAATGGGGAGAGTATGTTATTATAGTGGGTTTCCTGGAAGAAGTAGCACCTGATGTGGACCTTGAAGGCTAAGTAGGGACTCAACAGCTCAATATTGGGGTAGGAGTAGGGGGAATTCCAGGAGCAGAAAATGATGTGAACAAAGCCTTGGGAATGGAAGACTTGAGGATGAGAATGAGGAGAGTGTCCCTCCCCCCAGTTTGGTGGAGTGTACAGTATGGGAAGTGGAGCAGAGTGGGGAAAAATTCTAAAGTGAGAGTAGATTGTGGAGAGCTTTGAATGCCATGCTAATGTGCTAACTGTAAGCAGTGGGCTCCATCAAAATGTTTTTTTTTTTTTTTAGCAGAGGGATTTATCTGGGTAGTGATGGGAGAATTTGTGGGTGTGTGTATATGTCTAATCTGGGATCCAGCAATCAGGCTCTGACCCCAGCAACCTGGAGCGGATAGATACATAGCTGGGGTGAAGTCTTGAAAGCGAGTCCTGCAGGACTGTTGTTGGTAACTGGATCCAGGCTCAAAGGGAACTAAGGGTCTAGTTGATAGAACCCCAATACCATTTTAGGCCAAGTCTGCTCATTCCTATCAGGGAGAAGGGGTTGGCAGGAGGAGGGTGGGGGTGTTTTGTGTTTTCCAGGAAGTGTGAATGTGTAAAAGGCTTCAGGCTGTGGAGGTGCCACTGGGGGTGGGGGTGGGGGGGGGCTGGAACGGAGATTCTCAGAAGGTTCACTGACGCTGAATTCATCACCGGGAGATTCCTCTTCAACACTATCTCTGACACCTTTTCTGACACATCTCTGAGTCTCTGACATGTCTCTAAGCTTCTGACAATGTCTCAGAATCCCTTGACATCATCTCTGAGTTCCTGATACCCATCTCTGGATCTCTGACTGCTCTGAGGCCCCTACATGCTCTGACACTCTGAGAAGGTGTTCGAGCCCCTCCCTGATCCCCCCCCAAAAAAATCTTCAGCACCATCCCACTAGACAGGTTAGGGTTTCTCTGAGCACTATGGGAATGTTTTCCCCTACCCCCACCCCAGGATGACTCTAGAGGGGGCCTGAGCCCTATCTCAAGATGGAAAAACCCCAGGAGATGCTGCAGGACTGGGTCAAGAAAAGAGTCCTCCCCAGTACTCATCATCCTGCCCAGGGGTGGTTATGCATCTCCATCCATCTTCCCCAGCACAGACACAGACACACAGACAGAATCACAGACACCCGGGAGAAGAGGGAACCCACTGTGATTACGAAGGGGGGAGGGGGGAAGATGTAAGGAGACGCTTGGGATCCAGGCGTCCTGGAGGCGGCGCCAGGTAACCAGTCTCCCCCAACCCCACTGACCCCCCCATCCCCAACACACACACACCCCCTCCGCCCGGGGCCGCAGCAGCCCCTCCCCCCGGCCCCGCCCCCGCCCATCCCCGCCATCCCCCCGCCCCCGGGCCGCCCCCCGCCCGTGACGCGCTCCCCCCTCCCGCCCGCGAGCCGCGGCGAGGATGCTCCGGCGCCGCTGAGCCCGAGCCCGAGCGCGGAGCCGGGGCCGGGGCCGGGGCCGGGGCTGGGGCTGGGGTCGGGAGACTCGGGCCGGGAGCTGGGGTTGGAGCCTGGGCGGAACGGGGCCAGGGCCGGACAGGGCCAGGCAGGGCCGGGCGGGCTACCCCGTCATGGGCAAGGACCAGGAGCTGGTGCAGGCGGTAAAGACGGAGGACGTGGGCGCCGTGCAGAGGCTGCTGCAGAGGCCGCGGCCCGGGAAAGCCAGTGAGCGGGGGCGGGGGCGGGGGCGGGAGGGGGTTGCTTTGGGCTGGGGGCGGAGAAATGGGGAGGTGGGGTGCCTGGGAAGAGGGTGGGGGGCTTGGGGCAAGAGAGCCCCCGGGGTGGTGAGATGCTTGTCTGGGGGATGCGGGGTCCAGAGGCGATGCTGGGTCTGGAGGCACACATTGGGAGAATTTGGGGTGTCAGGGGAGGCCCTGGGGATCTGTGACGGCTGCCAGATGCCAGGGGAGCATGCAAGGTCTGGGAGGGGGTGCAGGTGGGGGATACATGGAACGAAGAGATGCTGGGGGATAGGAATGCAGGGTCTGAGGGTATCCCCAGGGGACCCAGGGGGTGGGGAGATACTGGGGGGTTGCAGTGTCTAGGGGTTCTGGGAGGTGGGGGGATACAGGCTGAGGGGGGCGGTGTCTGTGGCCCCGCCCCCAGTAGCCCGCCTCCTCCCCCTCCCCCCCCACTTTAGCCAGAGGCTGCAGAGAGGCTGGCCTGGGGCCGAGAGAAGGTGGTGGGGGCCAGGCGATGACTCGCCCTCACCAGGCTCCGGAGGCGCATTTTATCCAACAGCCCAAACCCGCACCTCCCCCTGCCCCTCTATGTCGTCCCTTCACCCCCCCCCCCATCTCAGCACTCATACTCAAGAGGTTTATGGAAAGCTAAAGGGATACAGAGATGGATGGGCACAGAGAGGGCTAGGACAGACAGGTACAGGGTCACAGGGACTCCGAGACACACAGGTGGACACACATAAGCAACTGGACCACCTGGATAGTCCCGGGTGTGCCCTGTCATAGCTTCACATGCTGCCTCTCCCCAGGTGTGCGGGTGGGGAAAGTGAGGGGCAGGGTCCTACTTCTCTGATTCTCTCACTCTTTCAATTGGGGATGAGGGACTGTCCGTCCTTGTAGCTCCCCAGGGGGACAGGGGTGGGTCTTCTATCTTCACTTTCTCATCATGCTTAATAACAAAGGTTGGAGAAAACTGGGCAGGGGCCACCCTGAGGGTGTGGCTGATGTGACCGTGTGTATGTAAGTATGTATGTATGCCTGTATGTATGTGGGAGGGGTGGCTAAAGGCAGGGGACAGAGGGGAGGGGCTCTGTGGGGAGACGTAATTCCATTTCATGGTCCGTGAAGAGAAGGTTTAGGCAATGTTTTACTGATGGAGAAACTGAGGCACAAAGTGGCTGAGTGACCTGTCCAAGGTCGCCCAACTTGGGGCAGAACCAGGATAAGAACTCAGGTGTCTGAGCTACCAGTCTGTTCTTGGAGCCTATTTCTCTAGTCTGTTGGGATCTCTTGTCAAACAGCCTAGAGGAAGCTGGGGGGGAAAGGATCCCAAAGCACCCAGTGCCCATCTCCTTCGCTAATATAGGAGGGAGGAAGCTAGCAGAGGAGTGAGGTGAGAGCCCTTGGCTGCAGTGAGCTCCCCCTGGGAGGGCCCAGGAGCCTCTGCTCAGCCTCCTGATCCTAACGCTGATCCTGGCTCAGCCGGAGCCTCCCCCAGGAGCAGGAGATGGATGGAGGGGTTGGGGGAGGGCGGGGGAAGGACGGAAAGGGGGAGGGAGATGCAGATAGAAGCCAATTCCTAGAGTGTGTGAGATTATGCCTCCCTCTGCATGTGACTGACTGCGTGTGTGGCTATGGCGTGTATATCAAAGTGCATCTCTGTGTGAGCAGTAGTTGGCAATATGTGTGTACAAGTGTGTCACTGAGTGTTAGTGAACGATTGACAGTTGTTTATGTGAATCTGTCCCTCTGCCCCACCTATTCTCCAGACCTGGGACCAATGTAGGGGGAGGGGTTTCTTGGGAAATGGGGGAGCTTCCCCTTCCCCAGGGAATGTAGGGAGCTTGAGGCACTCTCAGTTCTGGGGGTGAGGGTGGGGGGAGGGAGGCAGTCATCAAGCCCCTAAGGTGGCCAGCCTCTGCTCCAACCATTGCCTTAATGTTTATCCTCTCTGGGGAGTCAGAGGGTGGGATGGGCTGTGGGATAGAGACTGACTAGGGGAACAGAGATCCTAGGTCTAATTTTTTTCAGGCTTCCTTAGAATCATATGGGAGACCAGAATATAGTAAGCATTATCCCCCCCCACCCCCAAATAACTCACAGGTACAGACCGACATACATGGAAAGATATACACAATTACCCACAGACTAGCAGTTCTATATGCTGACATAGACACAGATAGATAAACACACATAGACAGACACAAGGCACAAGTAGGTGGGAGCTAGTTAGACTAGGGGGTCACTCCTCCCTGAGCACTCATTTCTAATTTCTTCAATATCTATAAATTCTTTGTAGCTCTCAGACTCCCCCTCTTTTTAAGGCAAAGATCCTCCCCCGAGTGTGATCATGCCCATTGATCACACATAGGTTCTCTCAGAAGCTCACTTGGCTTAACACTTTCCCAAGGGTCAGAAGTCAGATGTCCACCTGGAAAGTCCTGAACTAGGAACATAGAGGTTCAGAGTCAGAAGAGTCTGTCTCTAGGCTCTGGAAGAGCTCAAAGTTAGGTACATAGACAGGGAGAAAGAGAGAGGAAGAAATAGGGACGGGAGAGACAGAAACTGGGAGAGACAGAGATGATAATAGGAATAGGGAGAGACAGTGACAGAGAAGAGGGAGAGAAACACACAGAAAGACAGAGGGATAGACAGAGACAGAGATAGAGACAGGGACAGAAACCTCAACCGGGTGCTCTGACTCCAAGGGGGCGGGCTTCATAAATCAGAGAGGAGAAACCCCTTCATGAATTAGCACGGTTGCCATGGTGACACTGGCCTGCTTTGGAGTAAGATATATTTTGATTCAGCAAAGTGCAGCTGGAATTTGGGCCCAGGGAGTGGGAGGGTGGGGCCAGGGCAGGGAGTGATGTTCAGTGGGCAGCTCTGGTGCTCAGAGGAAATAGAAATTTTCCCCACTATAACCAGAAGGCTCTCTTGTTCTCCATCATCCCTCTAACTCCACTGTTAACCAGCTTCCCAACTCTGTCATCCTCCTTTCTCTGCCATCCTCTGATCACTTTCCCCATGCCCCTGAGTGCTTCCTCCATTATCATCCACCATCTACTTCATCACCCCCCCCTTGCTATCATCCTCTTTCTTGCTCCCTTCTTGTTTTTGTCACCCAGTTCATACCAGTCCAGCTAGCCTGCCTGAACTGAGTGCTCCATGTACCCAATTTAATGTTCTCCTTCGGTGTGTGGAGGTGGGGCTGGGGGAACAGACGCTGGCTTTGGAGCTTATCATCTTGGGGTTGAAAGAACAGGACAGAAGTAGAATGATCAGGGGCTAAGCTGAGGAGGGAGGCCCTCAGTTCAAAGGCTGTAGAAACTCAGAGAAGAAGTTCAGTGTGCACTGGGCTGGTCAAACTAGATTTCCCCATCCTTCCCCCAGCCTTCCTGGAGGAAGTAAGACTTAAGCTGGACCTTGAAATAGGAGTTGGACTTAGACAAGAGGAGATGAAGGGGACAGAGGGAATTGTGACCAAAAGTTCAGAGATAATTTTCCTTAGTATTAGTATTCCTGGTGCCTTGACACATAGCAGACATTTAATATATAAATGTAGAGGCAGCTAGGTGGCACAGTGGTCCTGGAATCAGGAGGACCTGAGTTAAAATCCAGCCTCAGATACTAGCTGTGTGACCCTGGGCAAGTCAGTTAACCCCGATTGCCTCAAAAAAACCACAAAACAAAATGTTGAACTGTATTGAATTGGGGTAAGTAGTGCCAGTATCTTTATATCAGTTTTACATATTAAGAGACTGAGAAGTTATGTGATTTGCTCAAGTTACATAACAAATAAATATTTGGTCCGGGATTCAACGCAGGTCTCCTGACTTCAGAGACCAAGTCTCTTTCTACTATACCACTTGAGTAGCTGTATAGAGTGCTGTATTTGACACTGGGGTTCTGAGGTTAAAGCCTATGCTCTTCTACACTTCAGTTTTCTCATCTGTAAAATGGGAACAGTAATATTTGCACTATCAGCTCCATAGAGAAGCAGGATGGAATGGTGGATATAGCATTGGCCTCAGAGTTAGGAGGATCTGGATTCAAGTCTCACTTCTGGCACATGAAGGCTTTGTGATACTGGTCGAATCACTTAACCTTTCAGTGTTCCAGGCAACACACTGAAACTGGAAATTGCAGAGAATGTACCCCACTGCATTTGTAAAGGAAGTTTCTCAATGGAAAGGTCCTCCTATGCCAATGGAATTACATGTCTGGTGTCCTTGTCCCTATGATCTTGTTCAATTTAATTCAACAAAACATTCTTGTTCTATCCCTACTGTGTGCAAAGAAAACTTTTTGGATACAAAGGTAAAACACAAATTTACCCCTGCTGTGAAGGAGGTTATATGCTATCAAAGGAAAGCACTCTGTAAGCCAGAGAGAGCTATGGAAAAGTGAGTTATTATGTGTATGTTGGTTTTTTTTTTTTGTGAGAGAAAGTCAGCTGGGGCCATATTGTTAAGGCCATTGAATATCAGGTTAAGGACGTTGGGCTTTATTTAGTAGGCAATAGGGAGCCACTGAACATTTTTTGAGCTCAGGAGTGATGTGATCAGAGTGGTACATTGGGAGGATTGACTTGGCAGCTTATGCAGCATGAATTGGAAGGGCGAGAAGTAAAGGCTGTTAGGAGGCTATTATGATCATCCAGGAAAGCAGTAATGAAAGCCTGTTGTAGGGTGGTGGCTGGGTGAGTGGAGAAGTGGAAACAGATGCCAAAAATATTATTGAGGTAACTCGGCAAAACTTAGCTGCTGATGGATGTGGGAATTTGAAGAAAAGCATCACCCAGATCCATAACTGGGGAGTCATCTCCTACAATCTATAGCAATGTGTTCATGTCTGCCTCTGGGCGTGTGTTTTTGTATATAAGCCATGAGGACCGTTTGTCAGTGACCTATAATCATTTTGCTGCCATATAATTCAAGGAGCCTGAGAGGCCAAGGGTATGGGTCAACCTGATGCCTTGCCCACCTTCCTGTGATCAGAGTGGGTGATGGGAGCAAACAGGAGCATCGAGGCACTGATTCCTCCAACCTTCCACCAATCAATCCACAAGGAATCTACCATGATATCAACACAATGGTGTGTCTGTCCATTCTTCCCTTAGAGTTGGGACTTCCCAAGATGAGGGCTATGTCTGAGAGAATCCAGAAGTATTATTCTTCCTGTATTTCCTTAAACTTACTGCACTATACTCGCAGCTCTCCCTCTACTCCCCTCTTCATGTCATAAAGCTATTACTCCTATCCTATGCCAAAACCTTAGCTTTGTCAGAGCTTGACTGAACGCTAGGAGTTAAATGTATGTATGCAACCTCTGTCCTTGGGGATCTCTTAGTCCTCTCCTTACAGAGGGGACACAGGACATACTCAGACACACTTGTCAGTGTCTACAGGGTAAGATGTGATATTAGGGGCTCAGAACACTGATATCTTGGGTTTAGTACAGTGACACCACTGAGTCAGGGTGGTAAATGGGGTTAGTGTAATATCTTGGAATTGACATGGTGATCTGTCTCAGGGTCATTGTAATGATATTATGGGATCAGTATGATTATATCTCAGGGTGAATGTGGTAATATCACGGGGTCAATGCTGACATTGTGAGGTCAGTATAGTGATATCTCAGAGTCAGTTGTGGTGATATGGGCTCAGAATGCTGCTATCATGGCATCAGGGTGCTTGATATCTTGAGCTGAGTTTTGTTGATGCCTGGAGGTCAGTGTAGTTGACTCAGGGTTATTCAGTGACATTAGGATCAGAGTGGTTAAGATCTGGAGTCAGAGCTGATGTCAAAGGATGGCATATGGTGATAATCTAGTAGGAAGCTCTCAAGGTCTCTGTATGGTCATTTATGTATTATGTCTGCTGAGGAAACTCCTGGGCTGAAGGACTAGCTGTTTTCCCTGAAGGAAGAGAGAATGAGCTGATGAGCTCAAAAAAGCCTTGGAAGACCCGAGGCTATCTGTGACCTTTTGTGTGAATTTTCAGAGAGAAAGAGGGGGCCAGAAGAGCTGGGAGCAGCTCTTCACCCTCCCTCCCATCTCCACTCGCTAAGTACTAGGAGATCTCTAAGACAGAACTGGACTGGAGCAAAAAAGAGGACAAGTGGACAAGTGTCCTGCATCCTGGTTCAATTTCCTAATTTGTCCAATGGAGGAGACAGATTCTCCCCAGTTCTGGATGTCAACAGGATAGCCAGGCTATGCCTTTAATCTCTTTGTGTTTTTGTGTCTGTGTTTGACTATGTGATTCTGTGTGTGTGTGTGTGTGTGTGTGTGTGTGTGTGTGTGTGTGTGTGATGGGGGTAGGGGATTCCTTTCTTGTCAAGGACCTTCTGGTCTTCTCAGTGTTAGTTTCAAATCCATCCCAGAGAATCAGCCTCCTTTGCTCTAAAATTTCACCCCCTGGCCAGGGAGGCAAGCGTGGGTGACTGTGTATGTGACAGTTTGTAGATCTGTGACTGTGGGGATGTGTGACTTCGTTCATTCAAAAATATTTGTTGAGCACCTATTATGTGCTAATGAGGTAGATCTGCTCTGGTATGACTGAGCAGATGTATGTGTGGGTCTCCCTGGATAGAATCGCAGAACCATAGAAGGCCTGTGGTGGAAGAGAACTCAACAACACAGAATAGTAGTGCTTGAAAGGATGTAGGCCTAGAATGTTAGTGCTGGAAGAGACAAAACTGAAAGGGACCTTAGAACACAGAATGTTAGAGCTGGAAGAGACTTTGATACCCAGAATGTTAGCTGGGAGGGAGGGAGGGAAGGAGGAAGGGAGGAAAGAAGGAAGAAAAGAAAGGAGGGAGGGAAGAATAGGAAGGAAGAAGTGAGAGAGGGAAGAAAAAAGGGAGGGGAGGAAGGATAGGAAAGAAAGAAGGAAGGAAATAAGTATTTATTAAGCACCTACTATGTGCCAGATACTATGCTGAGCTTTTTTTTCCCACAACTATGATCTCATTTGATCCTCAAAACAACCCTGTGAAGTAGGTGCTATTATTTCTCCCATTTTACAGTTGAGGAAACTGAGGCAAATAGAGGTTCAGTGACTTGCTCAAGGTCACACAGCTAATAAGTGTCAGAGGCAGGATTTGAATTCAGGTCTTCATGGCCCAGCACTGTTACCCGCTACCCTACTCAGCCTGCCTCTTTAGGGAAGGGAAGGGACCTTAGAACATAGAATGTTAGAGCTGAAAGAGAAATCTTAGAAAACAGGAGACACCTGACAGATGATCTACTCCAAACCCCTGATTTTACATATGGGAGAAACTAAGTCCCAGAAGGATGAAGTTGCTTAAAGTCACATAGTCAGTGACAGACTTAGGACTAGAACACAGTACTCAACTCCCAACTCTGAAATCTTATCATACCCTTCTTTCTACTCCGCCTTGATCCTATGATATTTCCACCAGGCCACACCCCCTAGGCCACTCCATAAGTCCCCACCCCCTTATCCTAATCGAGGACAAAGGGGCTTCTGTCCAGCCTAGAGGTCCCCTCCCCCATGGAGTTGATTGACCCACAAACAGGTTATGTAACCAATGTCCTGGCAGGCCCAGTGGTGATGGGGGGCCACTAGAGTCTGGCCAGGGCTGACGCAGATCCGGCGAAGGGCCCAAGCCCAGGGCAGGGGCCAAGAGAGCCAGCTCTGAGGGGATTGTCTTACATCTGTCTGTCCATGCCCTCTACCCATTCATCCAGCTGGCTGCCCATTTTCTGTATGTTTTGTCCATCTATCCAGGCCTCCATCCTATGCCTTCTCTAGCAAGGGTTCAGCGTTGGTGTCTTGGCCTATCTCTACTGGTCCTGGCTCTGGGGTAGTAACCGTAGAAAGGGGCAGGAGGGGGTGGTCCAGCTGACAATGAGAATGCAGATCCTGGGGACTTTGGGGAGTGGAACTGGAGGAGAGGATTGAGAAAGCTGAGGGAATGGCTGGACAAGTGGGGACAGAAGCAGGGTATTTGGCTGTATTCCAGGGAGGGCTGTGGAGCTATAGTGCAGGCTCTGGGTTGTCCTGGGCCTGAATCCTGCAGGGTAGGGGTGGCAGTGGCAGGCAGGGTAGAACTGGCAGGCTCTGATTATCAATCAGAATCTCAGTCTTGTTAGGAATGCGTCAGATACATAGAGACAGAGATGGAGAGACAGATAGAGATACTCACACATGCATGCACGTTTGCTTCAGCATTTAGCAGGGACTGCTTTGCTTTATGTTGTTGGACCAGGAAGTGACCTTAGAGCCGGTCCCAGCCTTTTCCAAGTTATGCTGGGGCTGTGCAGGAACCAGGGGGAAGTTGGGGAGGGCGCGGGGTGGAGAAGGGAAAGCAACAGCTCCGTTCTTGAGTGCGCAGAAAAGTGGGTGAGGGCCTCACTGAGCCAGTAGCTTAATGTTGCGGCCTTGGGGGCCTCCACCACTCCCCCAGAGACACCCCTGTCCTGGATCTACCAGCTTTCCCAAGCCAGCCCAACCTGCCCCACCCAGTCTGCAGACGTCAAGAAGATGGATCACTCACTGGGGGAGTTATCCAATTAGTTCCCATACAGAGTCCTCAGCTTGTCCTGGAAGTGTGTGTGTGTGTGTGTGTGTGTGTGTGTGTGTGTGTATGTGTGTGTGTTTGTGTATGAGAGTCTGTTGTGTGTTCTCCCAGTCTCCCCCACCCCACCCCCCAAGCTATATTTAGTAGAAGAGAAGCGGTAGCAGCAGCATCTGGATCAGTGCCCTGGTGGGCCAGGAGCCCAGGGGAGGATGGCAGTGTGTGTGTGTGTGTGTGTGTGTGTGTGTGTGTGTGTGTGTAGGGGAGAGGGGAATGGGGAGAGGGTCAAGGGGAAGATGCAGCTTAAAGCCCACAGCCCAGTTCTATAGGCTATTGCAGGGGGTCCTTGTAGTAGTGAGGAAGGCTGTAGAGACTGTGGCACCTCAAATCTTATGATAGTCTGGCATTAGAGAAGGACCATTGGGGAAACTGAGGCACAAAGGGACACTATTACCTATTCCCTCTTCTGTGAAATCTAGTTATAGGCACTCAAAGGAAGATGAGGGTCCAGCCCCAGGCCTTGGTGTTTATGTTTCAGGAAGAAGGCAGAATATGTATATTTAAACCTAGGGAGTGTCCAGTTGCTCCCTCCCCACTTGCCCCCTTCTCCCCACCCCCTATCACTGATTCTCCAACTCATCTTTTCCCCTATCAGTGATGACAGATGGCACCTGTGGCGTGGTAGAGAGAAAGGGTCTGGGTTTATCTTGGATCTGCTGCTTCTGGCTGTGTGACGTTTGCTTCCCTGGGTCTGTTTCCTCATCTGTGAAACAGGAACAAGGATAACTATATTATCTTCCTGGCAGTGCGGTTGTTTTTGTGAGGATGTGTAAATCATAAAACACTATGGAAATGGCAGCTAGGCAGCTAGGGGGTGTCTTGGATAGAGTGCTGATCTTGGAATTGGGAAGACTGGAGTTATAGTTTGGCTTCAGTCACTAGCTCTGCAGCTTTGGGCAAGTCATTTCACCTTTGTCTGCCTCAGTTTCTTCATCTGTAAAACGGGGATTATAAAAAAAAAGCACCTACCTCCCTGGGTCATGTGAGGATAAAATGAGATCATTGTAAAGGATCGCACACAGTCCCTGGCACATACTAAGTGCTACAGAAAATGTTATTATTATTATTAATTACTATTAACACGGTGAACTTCAGCCTTGGACTTGGATTTGGGCTCTTTCTCCTCTGGAGCCAGGCTATTGACTTTAGTCCTCTTTGGGAATATATATGTTTGTGGGGAGGAGGTTGGTGGCCTCATTTCGATGCCTCTCCCAAAGATGACTTGAGTCGGAGAGAGCAATGATTTCTCATTCGTCTTCTTCACTACTCCTCCCTTCCCTTCTAGAGCTCCTGGGCTCAGCCAAGAAGGTCAATGTCAACTTCCAGGACCCCGATGGGTGAGTTAGGGAGTCACGGGGGGATTCTTCCTCTGGCCTATGGATGAGATGAGGCTTGAGATGAGGCTGGACGCCTCTCTAACATGACCTTCCAATCCCGTTCCCCCAGCTTCTCAGCCCTCCACCATGCTGCCCTCAACGGCAACACAGAACTCATCGCCCTGCTTCTGGAGGCCCAGGCCGCTGTGGACATCAAAGACAACAAAGGCAAGTCCACCCCACTCCCGCCGCTTGCTCATTCCTCCCTACTCTGGAGGGAGACCCTAGGCCAAGTCAGGGGTCAGGGTCCAGCTGACCGTCAACCTCCTCCCCTAGGGATGCGGCCTCTGCACTATGCAGCCTGGCAAGGCAGGAAGGAGCCTATGAAGTTGGTGTTGAAGGCAGGTTCGGCCGTGAACGTCCCTTCAGATGAGGGCCATATCCCGCTACACCTGGCAGCCCAGCATGGGCACTATGATGTGGTGAGGGCTCTGGGACAGATGCAGAGAGGGAGGACCAGGGCAGGGCTAGGGGCCAGCCCGAGATCGGCTCTCACTGATTTCCCTCTCCCCCTTTCCCTCCCTGTGGGACCTGCAGTCAGAGATGCTCCTTCAGCATCAGTCCAACCCGTGTATTGTGGACAATTCAGGGAAGACGCCTTTGGACCTGGCCTGTGAGTTTGGACGTGTTGGGGTAAGTTTTCATGGGGCCCTTTGGTAGGGAGCACCCCAGGGATGGAGGTGGGGCAGGGAGATGATAGAGTGCAGGTGCTACTGTCTTTCGAGCCTAGGGGATGGTCCTGGGAGACCAGATTGATAATGTCTGATCCTGCCTCTCCCTCCTCACTTCTCTGGCACAGAGACAACAACCATGCCAGTGGCTGCCCTGATTCTCCTCTCCTTTCCCCTTTTATCCCCCTAAAGGTGGTGCAGCTGCTCCTGAGTAGTAACATGTGTGCAGCCCTACTGGAGCCTCGGCCAGGAGATGCCACTGACCCAAATGGCACCAGCCCCTTGCACCTGGCAGCCAAAAATGGTCACATTGACATTATCAGGTATGCCGTTGGTGAGGGATAGACAGGAGGGGCAGAGGGGAGGCTCTGGGGTTTTTTTCTCTTTCTCTATAGTCCCTCACCCCGTATGCCCAGTCTAGTGCAGCTAGGTGGTTCAGTAGATAGAGATCTGGAATTGGAGTCAGAATGACCTGAGTTCAAATTCAGCCTCAGATACTCGCCAGCTGGGTGACACTAGGCAGGTCAATTAGCCTCTGCCTCAGTTTCCTCAACTATAAAATAGGGATAATAATAGCACCTACCTCCCAGGATTGGTGTGAGGATCAAATGAGATCATATTTGTTGACACTGTAGTACCTAGCACATAGCAGGGGCTTAATGTTCTTTTCCTATCCCTAAGAGGAAGACAGAGAAGGAGCAGACCTTGGCCTTTCCTTTGGGAAGTTCAAAATCTGGGAGAGAGACAGAGAAGGAGGATCTTGTCATTGGGAAAGGTGCTCACAGTCAGTGAGGGAGGCTAGATTTACACAGAGAAAAGTGAGAAAGCAGCATAAGATTTACACAGAGAAAAGTGAGAAAGCAGCATAAGATGATGTAGGAAAGAAGACTGGACTGTGTGTTTCAGCTAGAGATGCTCAGAGGTGACAGAGCAGCCTGGAAAAACCAAAGAAAGTTTCACAGAAGTGGTGGGGGGTGGGAGGAAGGAAGCAGTGTGAGTGGTGGGATGAGCCATTTATTCAGGGCAGCCCAAGAGAGAAACAGACACTAGCTGGAGCAGAGAGCTATACTTGGGTAGATCCAAGGGCATTGAATGTCAATCAAAGAAATATAGTTTTTACCTGGTGGGCAGTGGGAGCTATAGAAGGTTTTTGAATGGGGAAGTAATGTCATCAGAGTAGTACATTATGGAGATTACTTTGGCAGTAATGTAAAGGATGATTTTGACAGGGGAAAGAATGGAGGCAAGCAGACTAATTGGGAGGCCATAGTAATAGTCCCATACCTATCCCAGAATGGTGGGTATAAGAGTGGCAAAGGGGGAGAACAGATGTACTGTTGTGGCAGTAGATCTAAGAGGATATAGCTCCTGATTGGGTCATTTGAGAAAGGAGAATGAGAAAAAGGGAAGAGCCAGATTTTTCCGAGTCTTTGACCTGAGAGATGTGTGATGGGGGTGCAGACTCATTGCCAGAGATAGGAGGTTGTGATGAGACCTAGGTGCCAGTGTCCCGGTTCACCTCTGGCCCTCTTGCCTTCCCCCCATGCCCAGACTCCTCCTCCAAGCTGGCATTGACATTAACCGTCAGACCAAGTCAGGCACTGCCCTGCACGAGGCCGCACTCTGTGGGAAGACGGATGTGGTCCGACTCCTGCTGGATGTAAGCTCAGGGAAGGGGAGGCAGACTTGGCGGGGTCAGAGTCTGGGAGACAAGGGCTGGGGGCACTGAGATAGGAGTCAGACAGAGGTCAGAGACCTCCAGGGCCCTTGGTCCCCAGCCCATCTCCCTCGAGGTCGTTCTGGATGAGGCAGTGGGTTTTCGTGCCCACTTTCTGCTCTTGTCCCAAGCTCTTCCAGCCCCCTCCCTAGGTCCCCAGCCTCCCCACCTGAGTTCGCCTTCCCCCTCCAACCAGAGTGGAATCAATGCCCACGTGAGGAACACCTACAGCCAGACCGCACTGGACATTGTCCACCAATTCACTACTTCCCAGGCCAGCAAGGAGATCAAGCAGCTGCTGAGAGGTGGGAAGATCTGGGGTGGTGAGTGAAGGTTGGGCTGGCATAAAGAAGCCTGGACCGGTGGATCCTTGGAGGGTGGAAGGCATGCTGGCTGGATTCATTTCCAGGGACTGGGTGGGTGTGTTCTCTTGTGCTTCCAGAGGCATCGGCGGCTCTGCAGGTTCGGGCGACAAAAGACTATTGCAACAACTACGACCTGACAAGTTTGAATGTGAAGGCGGGAGATGTGATCACGGTGAGTAGGAGAATGCAGAGCTTTCCCTGGGGTCAGTGAGTGAGGCAGACTGAGGTCAGAGACTTCCTGTGTCCTTGCTTCCTACCCCATCTACCTGGTGGTCATTCTGGATGAAGCAGTGGGGAAATGTGGCCACTTGGAGGGAACGATCATGGGGAGGCATGGCCGGTGAGAAGACGTGGACATGGCAGGAGAATCAGGGTGGTGGTGGATTATTCAGCCTCAAAGTGACAGGATGGAGAGCTGCTCCCTCCCTCTAGTTAATAGTTTAGGGGAATTCCTGGTAGGTTGGGAGTCACTAGTGACACCAACATGCCCACAGTAGCCCATCTTGGGGCAAAGTTTAATTTCCTACTCAACTTGACAGCAAAGTTGGGAGAGGGGGTCTCTTGAACCCCTCCTCTCTGCTGTCTCTGCTATTTTGCTATTATAACTACAGTGTATTCATGTTGGGGAATGGATCTGCCCTGAATCATGATGTCCTGGGCCCCAAGACCACTCAGAGAATGCAATAGGCCCTCAACCCTGCCCCCTGCTTCGTACAGGTCCTTGAACAGCATCCTGACGGCAGGTGGAAAGGCTGTATCCATGACAACCGGACTGGCAATGATCGTGTTGGCTATTTCCCGTCTACTCTGGGCGAGGCCATCACCAAACGAGCAGGCAACTAGTCTACTTTGACTCTCGTCTGGGCTTTGATCCTCAACTTTGCCCTTCACTTCTCAATTCTCATCCTCACTCCTAAACCTTGCTGTATCCCCAGCCCTAAACACTCACCCTGAGCCCTGATCAGACTCAGTTTCCTAGCCCTGGACAATTTCCAGGGTTTTTTTTTCCCAGTCCTTGGGATTTGAGAGCAGTACAGACCCTCTCTAGGAAGAGGGATGGGAAGAGAAAACTGTATCTTTCTGCCTGGCAGTAGGGGAAAGGAGCTCCCCTTGCCTTCCCTCCCTTGCCTTCTGACATACCGGGTAACACCCCCTGCTTGATCCTCACTCCCTCCCCCACCATGCCCCCATGACATGACCTTGGCATGTGGCATCTCATGTTCATGCTGGGTAGTCAGAGAGCTGAACAGGGGCGCATGCGTGCAGGTATATGAACACCCCTCAGTTACAGAAATGAGAATGGTCTCCTCTGGTGTTCCTGAAGAACCAGAGCCCCCGATAGTCCATCGTATAGGAAGTCAGGAGCTAGACCAAGGAGGGCCCAGACCTGTCTAGGCTTTGAGCTGTTCTGGGAGAGGGAACCCAGAGGTCATTGTTTAGAGTGCAGCCTGGAGCCTTCTGCCCCTCAGCCGCTTCTTCCATCAACTCCTAAAAATACCTAGATGAACCCAGTCTCCCCCGGAGCTGAGGTTGGGGGGCAGGGTGGAGGAGATGCTCGTTTGACTCCTGTTCTGCTGCCAAGGCTTCTGTTTCCTCCCTCCATCTTCCTCCGCCCCTTCTCCCCATCAATGTCCCTCCTCCTCCCTCCAGCTGTTCCCCAGAACGCTCTTCTTGGCAGAGGTTCAAAGAACCCCCAGACAGGCTGACTGCAAACTGGTCTGCTTGGCATTTGAGCGTTTCCCTCCCCTGGCCAGCGACAGCCAGTGACTCAGACCCCTCGCTTGCTGGCTCCACCAGCGTTTCTACCCAGCTTGTCTGTCTCTACATTTCTCTCACTGGTTCCTGTCTCCCATCTTCTCTGGGTCTCTCTCATGCCTCTACCTTCTTGTCTCTGATCTCTGTGGGTATCTCTATGTCTTTCTCTCTCCTGCAACTCTGTAAGAGGGGAGGGTAGGCCCTAACCAGCTCATAGAAGGAAGGACACTTTGAGGAGCTCAGCTTTGGGGAATGGAGGTGATGTTGGAGGGGCTGAGGATGGAATAGAAGTTCTATGGTGCCTATTTAACTTCGCCTCCATTGGCTTTCCGTCCCTTTCTGCTTTCTGTCTGTCCTTAGCCCATGTAGAGCTGAGCAGTCATGATCCAGGGCCCCTGTTTGATGCCCTGCTCTGAAGAATACCAGGGTTTGGGACAGTAGTACAAAGGAGAGGGTTCACTGGCCTGCCCGTGGCTGTGAACTCACGGCTGGGGTGCAAGAGGGGAGAGGGAGGGGTTTACAGGCCTAACCCCTGGCTACGGCCTACCTGTCTGCTTCTAGTAGAGGATCTACCCCACCAAGAGAGGAAGGATATTTGGGGTTTCAGGGTCCTGGGATAATCCGGAAGGGGCATTGCTGCTTGGCTGCTGTGCTCACCCTGGGGAACCCAGAGGGGCCCAGCCAGGGCCCCACTCCCCATAGTAGGGGCTTAAGTGTCGGCCAAGTGATAAGGGGTCAAGACTTAGGGCATACCTATGTTGTGTTTGAAGGTTCTCGAGGAGCTGACATGAGCCCGTCCCACCTGTCCCCTTCCCAGGGCAGTTCTGCAGCCCCTCCAGAGGAAATCTGGGTCCTGAGGAAACCCTTTACTGGTATGGAAGCCAGGGCAGGCCAGGGGCTCCTCTCTCAGGGGCATCACTAGCCACAGCTGGCAAGCAATGCCCGTAGGAGGGGCCGAGGGAGTGGGCGCCACTCCTGAAGCTTCTCTGGTTTCGGCAGGTGCTGACCGCAGTGGTAGCCTAGGTGGTGTGGCCAGCGGGCGCAGTGGAGGGAGTGGGAGTCATGCTCTGCACGCCGGCTCTGAAGGGGTCAAGGTATGACTGGACGCCTGGGTGAACGGGGGGCAGGGGACATCCTGAGCAAAGTTTGGCTCTTTGGTGACCCCGGTCCGGTCTGTCCCTTTGCCTCCCCAGCTCTTAGCAACTGTGCTCTCCCAGAAGTCCATCCAGGAGTCAGGAACCGGGGACAGTCCAACCAAGCCCCTCGAGGGCCCTGCAGGTGAGACTTTGGTTATTCTACCTCCTCTCCTCTGGGTTTATCCTCCTTGGATCTCAGAAGCCCCCAGCCTCTAATGAGCTCTTCACCCCTTTCCTCTTGTTGCCCAGGTCCCTCACGTGCCCAGCCTGTGACACACACAGGGCAGGCTTATGGTGAGCAGCCACCCAAAAAAATGGAGCCTGCGTCTGAGGGAAAGGTGAGGGGTCAGCCTGGGCCTCTTCTCAGGTCACAGAAGTGCTCCCTTTATGGGGACCCTATTAACTTGGTGGGGGGAGGCTTGATGAGGGGCCCAAGCAGAGGAGGCAAGGAGGAAAGGACTGGGAATCTCTGAGGGGATCAGCAGGAGCCTGTCAGGTCACCTGCCAGAAGCCCTAGATGGGGGAAAGAGTGGGAATCCTGACCTGCAGGGTTCCAGAGGAGGCCCAGGGCAAGCTTGGCCACTGTCTATCTGTTACGGACTAGGCAGCCACTGGCGTATATATGTGTATGTTTCTGTCAGGATGGGATGGTGTGGTGTGTGTGTGGGGTGCATGGGAATGCGTGTGTATGTCTAGAGTCGATGAGGTGTGTGTGTGTGTGTGTGTGTGTGTGTGTTAGGAGAGGTGTATTATGTGTAGAAGAGGTTGAGTGTATGTGGGGGAATGGGGGGTGGCATGTGGGGCTGAATTCTCTCTGGAGGCCAGCGTGTCACTGGGATCCTTGCTCCTGGGGTCAGGCCTCTAGGGCCTTGGAGGAATGGACCAGGCCAGGGTGTGGTACCAAAGGCTGCTGTGAGCAGAGATGATCAGGCCTGTTACTGGTCCTGGGGACAGGTTTTCTCTTCTCTGTCTGCCCCCCACCACCACCACGTTAGGGGGCTTATAAATATGCCCCAGGGAGCCTTTGGGTTAGAAAAGACCAGGCACATGGATCTCTGGCTAACACTAAGACACATTCACATCTGTCCACAGGATGCTCCCACACACACATGGTTAGGCTTGCCAAAGGGCTTTCCTGAGCTATGGATACAAAGATGGAGGAGGGGTAAGGGAGGGAGATGCGAGGCCCCTGGACAGTGGCAGGACTCTGCTGGAGGGGCCGGACGGAGGTCCCGAGGGCTGAGCAGCGCTGGAGGATGGTGGCCAGGCTGGGCAGCAGCCACAGCATCTGAGCTCAGGCAAGGCCAGTGAGGAGGAGGAGGAGGAGGAGGAGAAGCCAGCACTGGGGAGGGGCCCGGATGACGGCTGCAGCCCTACAGATGACCATGGCCAGGCTGAAAGAGGAAGCAGCAGAATTGGGGCTGAGTGGTCCCAGGAGAGTCCGGGAAGTGCCCCAGCCCACAGGACAGTGAAGGCTTGTCCACCAGCGGTCCGGCCTGCAGCAGGTGCCCCCTTGTGTCTTCCAGAGTGCGGAGGCTGTCACTCAATGGCTCGCCACCTTCCAGTTGCAGCACTATGCCTCCAACTTCATCACCTCTGGCTACGATCTTCCCACTATCAGCCGCATGACCCCTGAGGTGAGCTGGCCACTGGCTGGGCCCAGAAGATGGGCCCCGGGAACCCTGCCACCTCGGTAACGGGGCCTTTTCTCTGCCCTAGGATCTCACGGCCATTGGTGTCACCAAACCTGGCCACCGGAAGAAGATAACCTCAGAGATCAACAGCCTGACCCTCCCTGACTGGCTGCCTGAACACAAACCCGTAAGGCCCCTCCCGCCCTGGCGGTGGCAGAGCCGTGGCGGGCATGGGGAGGGCAGAGGGTGCTGCCCCACTCTGGAGCCCCAGGACAGACAGACAGTCACGCTCTGCGCTGGAGCCCGGGTGCCGCCCAGCACAGGGCAGCCACACCTGGGGCCTATGGCATGGGGCATATGCCTGCGACTTCACTGGGCCACCCCAGGGCAATCCTGGCCCCATCAGCGCCCGCTGGCCTGGACGGAGCCGCTGCCCCCAACCTGGCCCTGGGGAGACGAGTGAGGCGACGTTTCGGTCAGACACTGAGGATGGCCCCTCGGGAGCAGCGCGGGCCCTGCCAGCAGTGAGCCACCTGTCCAGCCATCTGTCCATCATGGGCACCAGGGCTGGCCTCCCCAGCGGGGCAGGTCCTAGGGCAGTGGGCATGGCTGGGGCCAGGGCTGTGCATTGTCTGGAGTTTGGGCTGAGAGAGAAGGAGATGCTGGGCCCAGAGTCCTGGGCCCTGGGTTCAGGGCAGCTGAATAGCTTTTATTCTTTGTTAGGCAATAGCCGGGGCCCAAGAGCAGGTACAGATTCATTCGATCAGCAAAATGTCACACCTATAGTGTGAAATCCACATAACTCAGCGCTGTAACACACATACGCATCATTAACCCCCCACACACACTCCCACAAACCACCAGGTCAGGTCCATCCAATTAATACATGCCCACCGGACCCACACACATACCATAGGAGGTAGTGAAGAGAGCCCTGGAAACTAACTGGTTTGTCCTAGGTCGGCCACTCATGCTCATGGGGTGACCTCAAATGCGCCACTCAGTCCTCCCTTGGCCTGGGCTTTTTCATCTGCTAACGGGGGTGGGAGAGAGAGATGGCCCAGGAGATTGTGAAGGGCTATGTCAATTCTGGTTCCATGCCCTGCACTCAGGGATGACATTCACCCCACCCCTTCCCTTGCCTAGGGCTCCTCATCCAAGGACGACATCCCGATTCCTTCTCTTTTCTTGTGGGGATCACCCAAGCACACGCGTGACTAGTGGGGTCAGTAGGTGGAAGTCACTACATCTCAGCAAGGACCTATCTATATTAGGGCTCAACACAAACGTGTCCCAGGGTTATTTCTTCCTCTTTGCCTCTGTTTTGATCAGGAAAGTAGGAGGTGAAGGTAGCCATGATTGTGGTGGGGAGAGGAGAGAGGATGGTGGGTATGAAAGAGATGAAGTTGGTGTGTGTGTGTGTGTGTGTGTGTGTGTGTGCTGCATATGTATTTGGTGGGTGTGAGAGAGATGCAATTGTGTGTGTACGTGTGTACTATATATGTATATAGGGAGTATGAGAGGTGTGCTTGGGATATGTGTATGTGTGTATGTGTGTGTCTGGGGTTTTACATGTACATAGGATGTGGCTAGATGTGTGTCTATGTGTGTTTAAGGTAGTGGTGGTGGGGTGGACAGATGGTTGGACCAATGGCTGGCTGGCTGGGTGGGGGAGGGGGTGGGGAAACAGTCACATGGCCCTCCCCCCTCCATATGTCTGGGCAAGGTCACAGGTGTGTTACAGACACAAAATGGTGGATGCTTCGGTGTTTATGGTGGTGTGTGGTGAATGCCAGTGCCCGGGCAGGCCAGACTGGCCTGGCTCAGACGAGGGGGACTTCCCCAAGGTCTTAGGCCTGGAGCAAGACTCAGGACAATCTCTACTGTCTGTTATTCTCATGATCTGATTTCTCTGAGGCACCTGCTGACCTGTCTGTCTGTCTGTCTGTCTGTTCTTCCCCAGTCTACTGCTCCCTTTCCTGACCCCAGCCACAAGTTAGCAACCCTGAGTGAACAGCTTGGGGGAGGTAGGGGAAAGACAAGGCAAGGCAGCCCCAGTGGCCAGGGGGGGCCTCAGGGGAAGCCTGGACCCACCTGTTCAGGCTTGGCTTGTCCTGAGACCTAGGAGGGCTGTTTGCTGTCTCCTTCCTCAGGCTAACCTGGCTGTGTGGCTTTCCATGATTGGCCTTGCCCAGTACTACAAAGTGCTTGTGGAAAACGGCTATGAGAACATTGACTTTATCACTGACATCACCTGGGAGGACCTGCAGGAGATTGGCATCACCAAGCTGGGTAAGGCGCCTTTCTTCCCCCACCCTGCCTAGCCTTGCCCTGTCCCTGGGTGACCCAGGGGATATCTGGGGCGGGCCCTCCGTCACTGGGCAGCCCTTTAACTGTCCCCATGGCTTGGCCAGTCTATCTGCCATGTGTCTCCCATCCAGGGCACCAGAAGAAACTGATGCTGGCAGTCAGGAAGTTGGCAGAGCTGCAGAAAGCTGAGTATGGGAAGTATGAGGCAGGGGCCCTGCGCCGGAAGGCCCCTCAGTCACTGGAGGTGGTGGCCATTGAGTCTCCCCCACCCCCGGAGCCCACCCCTGCTGAATGCCAGTCACCCAAGATGACCACATTCCAAGACAGCGAGCTGAGTGATGAACTGCAGGCCGCTATGACAGGCCCGCCCTCGGGTCCCGAGGGCGGGGCCGAAAAGCCCACCAACAGTCTGCCCCCCACACCTCGGGCCAGTGGCCTGCGTCACGAGCCCAGCCTGAGCGGGAGGGCACGGCACATGAGCAGCTCCCAAGAGCTTCTGGGAGACGGGCCTCCCGGCCCCAGCGGACCCATGTCCCGCAGCCAAGAGTACCTGGCTGATGAGGGTGCCTCCACTCCTAGCCCCAAGGAGACCCGGCCTACTCGTCACGGACACGGCGTCAAGAGAGCCAGCGTGCCCCCGGTGCCTGGCAAGCCCCGGCAGTCCTTTCCCCCGGGTGCCGCCGGGGGCCACTTCACACCACCTCAGACGCCCACGAAGCCCCGTCCAGCGTCACCACAGACACTGGGCACTGCCCACAGCCCAGCCCCGGCCACTGCCAAGGTGAAGCCTACTCCACAGCTGCTGCCTCCGGCCGAGCGGCCCATGTCGCCCCGCTCGCTTCCGCAGTCGCCCACCCACCGAGGCTTTGCTTACGTGCTGCCCCAGCCTGTGGAAGGTGACGGGGGGCTGCCCCCGCCAGCGGCGCCTGCCCCTATGTCCGTACCTGTGTTGTGTCTGCCCCCTGGGGCTGTGGGGGAGGCCGAGGAGGAGCCTGGGCGGCCCAAGAAGCGAGCACACAGCCTGAACCGCTATGCTGCCTCGGACAGTGAGCCTGACCATGATGAGCTGATGGTGCCCGCAGCAGGGCCCTATGCCACGGTGCAGAGACGGGTGGGACGGAGCCACTCGGTAAGGACCCCGGTGGGCAGCGATAAGAATGTCAACCGCAGCCAGTCCTTCGCCGTGCGGCCCAAGAAGAAGGGGCCCCCTCCTCCCCCACCCAAGCGCTCCAGCTCTGCCATGTCTAGCGCCAATCTGGTAGATGAGCCGGTCCAGGACGGAGAGGGCGAGGAGGCCAGGTCTGAGGAGGGCACACCGGGTGGGCGGGCCCAGCGACGGAGGGCCAGCGACTTGGCTGGCAGCGTGGACACAGGAAGCGCAGGCAGCGTCAAGAGCATCGCTGCCATGTTGGAGCTGTCATCCATTGGGGGTGGGGCCCGGGCTGCCCGTAGGCCCCCAGAAGGCCATCCCATGCACCCAGGGCCAGCTGGGCATCCTGCCAGCCCTGAGCCGGGCCGCGTGGTCACAGTGCTGGCCTCAGTCAAGCACAAAGATGCTATTGGATTGGACGGTGAGGTAGTCAACCGTCGGCGCACCCTCAGCGGCCCTGTCACTGGGCTGCTGGCCGCTGCCCGCCGCGGGGAGCAGGGCCCCCCTGAGCACATCCCCTTCGCTGAGGAGGGCAGCCTCACTATCAGGCAGCGGCCACGGGGCCCAGCCAAGGGGGAGGGGAGCGAGGGCCCTCCCCTGGCCAAGGTCGAGGCCAGTGCCACGCTGAAGCGGCGCATCCGGGCCAAGCAGAGCCAGCAGGAGAATGTCAAGTTTATCTTGACCGAGTCAGATACAGTGAAACGGAGGCCCAAGACCAAGGAACGGGGGGAGCCTGGGCTGGAGCCACCCCCACTATCTGTGTATCAGAATGGCACAGGCACTGTCCGCCGGCGACCAGCCTCTGAACAGAGTGGTGGCCCTGCAGAGCTGCCTCTACTGCCCCCCCCTGCCGCACCCCCTCCTGCAGACCTTGCCCATCTGCCTCCTCCCCCGCCACCTGATGGAGAGGCCAAAAAGCCTGCCAAGCCCCCGGTGTCCCCCAAACCCGTCCTGGCCCAACCGGTCCCCAAGATCCAGGGCTCACCTCCAACCACCTCCAAGAAGGCACCACTTCCCAGCCCCGGCAGCCCAGGTACGTATAGTACAGCCACCTCCCCACTGAGCAGTGGTCCGAGGTCCTGGACCCTGAGGGAAAGGGGGCAGGGCAGACAGAGTATACAGAAGGACCTCACGTCAAGAAACTGGACTCTTTTCTTAGGATCTTAAGATTCAGTGCTTGAAGGTAACCTTAGAGCCCATCTGGTTCAATCCCTTCATCTTCTAGATGAAGACGGCATTGAGGCTCAGGGGGGTTAAGGTCATACAGGGAGTAAGTAGCAGGAGCCCAGACTTTGGACTCCAAATCCAATGGAATCTGCATTCTGCACAAAGACCAACCCAGGGCTCCTGCCTCACCCCTGGTCCACACCTTCTCTGCAAATAAGATTAGATGAAGCAGTGTTTTCTGAGATGTTTGCATGCCTGTATGCTGGTTGCTATCATGCCATCTTCATTGCCCCCACAGAGGCAGTGACCTGTTTGTACACACACACACACACACACACACACACACACACACACACACACATACACACACACACACATGGACATTGCATACACACAAGTCACGATGCCTAGGCATTGGCTCCTACTTCCCAGATTTCCATTTTTAAACTCCATGGCCACAGGGTCAGGACCTAGAGCTGTTGGGCTGCCTTCCTCTCCACAGAATGTGCCCACCACTCAAAGAAGGAGAGGGAGCTGGAGTCACTGAACCAGTCACTTTTGTGCTCTCCTAGACCCATCCTGTGCCTCCTGGCTCGCCCCAGGAGGTCATCACCAGGGGGACTCTGACTGGTCCTTTAGGTTAAGACACTCAGAATCCTTTTTGTTTAGTGGGACCCAGCTCCTCCAGGGCCCCTGACTCAGGGTGGGTACCAGCGAGGGAATGGGAAAGCTAAGTGTCCCTGTTGGCCAGAGCTGGCACAGCTGGTGGTAGGTGTGGCCAGCAGGCATAGACCGCTGGCTGGTTTTTTTCACCAAAGCAGGATCTAAAAGGTCCGAGGATGGCATGGCTCGTAAAATGCTCTCTCTTCTCCCAACAGAGGTGAAGCGGGCCCACGGAACGCCCCCGCCAGTGTCTCCCAAGCCACCACCCCCGCCCACAGCACCCAAACCAGTCAAGGCCCCTTTGGGACTGCAGTCTGTGAGTGCCAGCCCCACTCCCACACCCTCCCCAGCCCGCCAGGCACCTGCTGCTGCCGCTACCAGTAAGCCAGCCAGCACACCGCCCTCCCTCTGTGCCAGCCCTGCCAAGCCCCCATCGCCGGGTGTGCCCCCCCAGCAGGTGCCCATCAAGCCCCCTCGGGCCGCCATGGCTGTGCCCCCCGGAGACGGCAGCGCCAGCGACAGTGCTCACCAGAAGCTGGAGGAGACCAGCGCCTCCCTGGCTGCTGCCCTACAGGCTGTGGAGGAGAAGATTAAGCACGATAATGGACAGGCAGCCGAGTATGTGCTGTGCCCCCAAGGTCACTGTCTCCCTGCTGATTGTCCCTTCTCTTCTCTCAGTCCCCACTTCCACGCTTCTCCAGGTCACCGTTCCTCCAATCTCCCTTTCCTCGGTAGCTGCCCCCTCCCCTTCTCCCCATCACTGTCCCCTTATGCATAGCCCCCTGGTTGCCATTCTCTTGGTCAGTAATCGGGCCTGAATTCAAATCCCACGTGACCTTGTATAAGTCGCCACTCTCTCTGGGACACATTTTCATCGTTTGTAAAATGAAAGCATTGGGCTAGATGACCTTGGAGGGGGTCCCCTTCTGGTTCTCAATCTGTGGTCCCCCATTCCTTTCCCCCTCAGCCACTGTCTCCTTAAGCATCACCCCCATTTTCTGTCTCTCATTTCAGTTCGGCCGCTGAGTCCAAGAGTACAGTCAGCATCCTGGATGACATTGGCAGCATGTTTGATGACCTGGCTGACCAGCTGGATGCCATGTTGGAGTGAGCCCGTCAGGTGCCCAGCCAACCTCAGGACTGCCCCCCTTGCCCCACCCCGGGCTCCACACACAGAACTTTACCTCAGGATTGGGCTCCAAGCCGGCCATCCACGTGGCCGCCTTCTTTGTGCTGCAGGCTGGGGGGGGTGCTCTCTGGGGGGATGGCCTCCTTGATGGAACCCCCTCCCCATCTGGCCCCTTGCTGCTGCTGCCTCCTTGCCCCATCCTTGACCTCTGCCGCCTCCAGGCAGGGACTTGGGCTGGAGGAGGGTGTGGAGCAGGTGGAGAGGTTGAGGGGCAAGGACTCAGAGTCCTTGGGGGCTGGAGTATTCCTGTGGGTGGGTGGGAGGAGACTGAGGGGGTCATCCCTTCCCCTGCCCCAGGGCCTGGCTGATCAGATGGTGGTTGGTGTTCAAGCACTGGTGGTTGGTGGTTAGGATGTTGGGGTGGGGGGGATTGGGCCTGAGAGAGCAGTGCCCTTGAAAGGGGTCCCCACCCCTTGCCCTTCCATGCCCCCCCTGGTCACAAGCACAACATTTCGGGGGGCCATGAGCAGAGCAGGAGGCTGGGGTCAGAGGTTGGCCTCCTTGTCCAAGGGCTTTCTGGTCACTGGTGCTGCTGCCAGTGATCGCCTCATAGCGGCCCTGGGCTGCATTCCTGTTGCTTCATCCCCCATCCCTCCCTGCCGCCATGATGCAATAATAACAGCTGGGTTAGCTCTTCCTCCTCCCCCTCCTGTAGCCCCCATCAATCTGTCTGGTATGTGCCCTCTCTATCTCCACTACCATAGGGAGAGGGGGAGAGATTGAGTCCCTGGGCACAAGCCGCCAGGCCTCATCCGGGGGGCCTTGGTCTTATATCAGGCCCCTAAGGGTGACTGGAGGTGTTAAGGGTAGGGCCAAGGCCTGGGTTCCCAGGGGAAGGCTGCTGGCCTCAGTGCCCAAGGACAGCAAGGCTAAGTGGGGCTGGCTGGAGGTGGAGACAGTAGGAGACAAGAAGGCTTGTGGGCTGGGCTGGTCCTATGCTCCCTGGACCACTGGAGGGTGGGAGAGTACCCCCCACAGGCAGGCCCAGGCCCCCTCCCCTCCCCTTACTCCCAATCAGCCGCAGAGCACAGGCCTGAGGACCAGAGGTACAGCACAGGAACTGCTTACGATTGGGGATTCTCGGGGGGGAGGGTATGGGGGGATTGCCTCCCCTTGCTTAACTTTCTTTCTGGGGTTGGGGGTGGTGGTGCCTCAGTCCCAGCCCCCTGCCCTGGCCCCATCACAGCACAAAGAGGCCAGTTGTAGTAGCCTGGTCCTGGGGCAAGTCTGCACAGACAGCTCCTCCCGAGGCTCCGGCCCTCTGAACCGACCCTGGGTCAGTGCACTCCCAACGACCCCACCCCTACCCCTACCCCCAGAGGGAGAGGCATAGACCAGATAATAAGCTATAGAAGAGTATTAATTTATTGGAAATGAGCTGAGGCAGATTTTCCCAGAGATCCAAAAGGGTAAAAACTTTAACTTTAACAAATATATATTTAAAGAAAGAAATATTATTGATTCTATAGAAAACCATTTACCAACCAAGAGAAAACTGGATTTTAGTTTGAGACAAAAGCTGTTGGAGGCCAAGGCCACCTGTCTTGTCTGTCTGTCTGACTGTCTGTCTGTCCCTCAGTGGCCAGACCACTTTCCCAGTAGCACAAACAGGAGGCTTCCCATCCCTCCGGAGGGTGGGATCCGCGTGCCTGGGGGCTCCGCCAAGTCTCCATCCCACCTCTGCTGCTCTTCTTTCTTCATCTCTTTCTCTGCGTTTGAAGAACTCGAAGGATGTGCCTTGTTTGCTGATGGGCTGCGTCCCCTGGCACCACACCACAGAGACCTTCGGGCACTAGGGGCTTCCCTTCTCCTCCTCCTCCTCTCGGGTGTGGCTGTGGCCCTGGGGAGTGTGAGTGTGTGTGGAGGGCACACACACTTTGGCGGGCTGTTTGTGTGGTGTCTGCCTGTCTGGTTTGAGGGTAGCTGTGGGTGTGGATGAATGGGCACGGTGAGGTGTGGCTACGTCACACAGAGTGGGGCTTGTGTGCTAGGATGGGTGTGTGTGTGTGTGTGTGTGTGTAAGAGGATGGAGTGTGTGTTGATATATCCTTCTCTGTTAGCACACATGGGTGGATGGAGTGTGTGTTGGTGTATAATTCCTTGTGTTTTGGCACATGTGTGTGGTGTGTGCATGTGAGGGCATGAGTGACCCTCCAGAATGCACCAGTGGCTATTCCTGCACCAACTGGCCAGTGCAGACCCCACTCCAAGTTCTGATGAACGCCTTTGCTCGTGGTCTGAAAAGTGTTGTGTGGTCATTCTTTTTCTCCTCCTTTCCCCTCCATTTTTCCTGAGACCCCTTTTCCCTCACTCTCAAAAAGTACTGACTGGTCTCCATTGTTGTGTTTGCTGATCCAGATGTGTTGGGCACAACTTTTGACATTTCTTAAACACATTTTTTAAAAGCCTGAAACTAGCTGTTGTGAAGACGACTGTGTGTGTGAGCCCTGAAGGCCTCTGGGCTGGGGAGACAGGTGGACGGACATAGTGTGCTCTGTGCTGGTCGTTTGGTCCAGATTCTGTATTGTACTACATTGTTCCAGCTGTCCATCTCCCTTGGTGCTCCCCACGCTCTGTGTGTGTGTGTGTGTGTGTGTGTCTGTGTGTGTGTGTGTGTGTGTGTGTGTGTGTGCGCTGCCATCTCCCTGGTGACTGGTGATGCCCCCTTCCCACGGGGCTTTTGGTTTGCTCCTTCAAGTCCGAGGCTGGGCAGCAAACATCCAAAGCACCCGGGCCAACGTTCCCCCGACACACCCAAGAGGACATCACGGCCTTGTCATTGCCACGGTGGATGAGGTTCACAGCACCCGGGCCATCCATCTGTGCGTCTGGTCAGTGTGTGTCTGAGGGATCCGGGCCCTGGACAGACTGGACTTTCTAGGATCTGTGTGCCCAGCCCTGTGGGATGGTGAGTGGTCTATGCAGCCGTCTGCGCTTCCTGCCATCGGCTCTCAATAAATGTCAGAAAACAGAAGTGCTGGCCGGTTTTTTGGGGAAGGTGGGGAGCTGGGACCCACAGAGGTTATGCTATCTGGTTATCAGAAACGGCATAAATGTGGAAGTGATGCTGCTACCAAAATGATGACTCATTTTTGAGATACTGAGGTACACTCCACTTGTCTTCTGTGGGAGAAGTCATCGAGAGTTTATCATGAGTTTCTACGAAGCCTCAAGCGAGGTAGGAGGATCAAATATGGTCAAATATGGCAGAGGTTGCTGGGGGAGCTACAGGGGGTTTCTTCTCCCAACCAAGCTAGGGGAGTGAGGAGATATCTCATTCTCCTCTGAGGTGGTGGACCTGACCTCCAAAGGACTGAAGAGAATACAGGTCAGGGCTGTGGAGGCAGCAGATGGCCTCTTGCACCCTGCTTCTGACGGACTTGGAGCCTGGTGTTCTCTGGGAACCTCTATATTCATGTCTCCTCACCCCCACCCTCAACCTTTCACAGGTCCCAAAAAAGACTTATGACGATTGTATTTTATGTTTCAGCATATGTACACATGTATTTGTGTGAGTATAACACATACATACAGATCTCTCCTCCCCACACCTGTGTGACTGTTATGTCCTCAGAGTCAAGAGACTCCCCCCCACCCCCCCAGCCATGCCCAGGCCCCAGGAACTCAGACTCACCTCCACGCTCCATTTAGATTTTATTGTCAATGAGGAAATAATCAAATCTATATACAGTCTAAAAACCGTAAAAAACGTGAGTAAAAATGTACCCAAGGCCGGTCCCTTGCCTGATGAGGAGTTTCCATGGTGTGGGGAATGTGAATGGAGGACTGGTGTGGGCCTTGAGCATCGTACCGGTGACCCTGGGTAAATGTCCCCAGCAGCCCACCATCTGAGAGGAGCTTGAGAACATCTTGGCAGCACAATCAGCAACAATGGGCAGGAGAAAAGGAGTGTCTGTGCGCGTGGCCCAACCAGCAGGCCCCGAGTGCCAGAAGAGCATCTATTACCGTCTACAAAGGGAAGGGAGTGATTGGGCCTCTGGGCTGGGGCCACCCACCAGGCTGCTCTGACAGGGGCTCTGAGGAGCTGGCTGGAGTGCTGGGTCTATCATGAACATGTGCATGTGTGTATGTGTGTGGAGAAGTCCATCACGAGTCCACTTAATGTTCCATCCTGTGGCTAGGGTGGGGTGGGCAGAGCAGGAGGGCTGAGGTACCTGCACTGCCCAGGAGGATGCCCCGTACCTGGGACAGCAGCTTTGGGGCAAAAGTTTAGGAGCAGCTGCTTGGCTGACTTGTGTGGCAACCATTCCTGGGGATTCCCTCCAAGGCTCTGGCCATGGGATGGCACAACACAGGGCAAGGATCTGGTAGCTCCCAGGGGGAGGACTGTCCTGGATTCTCCTATTAACACGTCCAAACCTGTGAAAGAAAAGGTTTCAGAATGGTCCAAACCAGCTCGAAGCCCTGACCCCCATTTCACACATCTTTGGTGAATGATCCAACCTGCCTATTACTCAGGAAGCCTCCCCACCAAGTATGACTGAGACTTCACAGTGGGAGAGGCTGGGAATATCCCAGTCAAAAATGAGAAGACATGAGATGTTTTGCCCTGGCTTCCTATGGCCCTGAGGAGAGACTGCATCCTCCTCCCCCTGTTCTAGGTCTTTCTCTGAGAAGAGAAAAAGGACCCTGTATCAGACTGGGATTGGAGAGGTCCTCTAGGGCACGACTCTTCTTAACCAAATGGGCAACCCGTCTCTGCTCTTGGTGGACCAACACGAAGGGTCAGACCTTTCAGGGATGAGCAAGGGTGTGTTCTCAGCCACTCACCTTGACAGTGCTGTCTACAGCTCCAGAGAAAAGTCGACCCCGGGAGACGGCCAGCGCGGTGACACTGCCCTGGTGTCGAAGGAGTGTTTGTGTGCAGATCATGTTATCCATGCTCCAGACCTGAGGAAGGAGGGGGAGGGAGAGCGATGGGCCCCGAGCCCTTACCAAGCACAGGACCAAGCCTAGTGCCAGGGGCCACGCCCCCTCCCATTGGAGGCACTCTTAGAGGCTTCCAGCTACCAAGCCCAAGACATGTACCCTGAGTGACCGGTCATAGGAGGCGCTGAAAACTTTGGTCTGGTCCGGGGTTGAGATGACGGCCAGGGCATATACTGTCCCCACGTGACCTGTTAATGTCCGCACCTGCTCCTTAGATTCAATATCCCAAACCTGGGGAAGAAAAAGAGGCATGAAGATGGTTTGGGGCAGGACAAGGAGCATCCCCAAAGGGGCCTGCCAGACAAGCCGACAAGTTGACAGTGTTTGACAGACAGGGAGACAGAGACAAATGAGACAGACAGGTGACCACAAGTAATGACAGGCAAACACACAGAGGGCATTGCAGGCAAAGGGGTAGAATGAGCAGAAACAGCATTTTCTGCCTGGTCACTCCCCAGGTTGACCCCAAGGTCAGAGAGGCCCCAGAATCAGCCCCGTGCCTGAGAAAGCAAGGCAGCTGAGTGGAAGGGCCAGGCAGACAAGGACTGGCTGGGGGCTCCCTCTCCCTTACATGGATGAGGTTCTCATAGGTCCCGCAGACAATGTGGTGATTTGTCACCGCGATGGAGTAGACACTGCCCCCCGACGTCTGTAGCACGTGGATACACTCGAGGTTTCGGATGTCCCAGATCTGTGGCCAAGCGAAAGAGGTCAGGCCTTCATTTCGGGGTATAGAGGTATGCTTCTTTCCCAGCTCCCTCCTTCCTTAGCCACTTACCAGCCACTGAACCTGTCTGGGAAAAAGCCCTGTCCTGCTCTTTGGGAAGGGATTTCTAGACCCACCTCTCTACACTTACAGGGCACGGTGGATGCCCAGGGGGAATGATTGGCCAGCTGAAGGGGAAGGAGGCTGCTGAAATCTGTTCAGGCTCTGCCTCTTCCTCTCCATTTCTGGTGGGGCACAGGGCTGAAGTTGCTAGGGGTGTGATTAGAGCAGCAGCCGCTGCTGCGTAGCTCTCCTATTGGGGTTTCCAGGGGTGCCCTTGGGGCTAGGCTTCAGTCTCCCTGCTGGAGCCTTTCATTCCCTCAGATGGGGATAGTCCTAAGATAGAGAGACAGATAATCTTGGGCACATCCAGCCATTTGACTTCTGCCTCCAAATACCCAACATGTCTCTTGCTGTGCCATCTTTTGCTGCTGGGGTTTTCCCTATAGAACTACGTCCTGCCCAGTGCCCCACAGGAGGCAGCTACCAGGGATGAGACCCACTCCTCCGCCTGCCCCTGGCCTCCCCTCTGCTGGAGGCTGAAAGCTGTGCTTCGGCAGAGGAGGTGGTAGCTGAGCGCTGCCACGGAGACAGGCATGACTCCCTCCCCACAGCATCACAAACAGGCTGCCTCAGGGTTGGGGGGCGGGGGAGGGGGGAAGGTTAGTTAGGCCAGGCCAGGTTCCTGCTTCAGGCAGCTCCTGGTCTCTGGCCCTCGGTCCCAGTACCTTGATTGTCTGGTAGGAGCCACTGTACAGGTAGTTCTGAGAGGCCACTAGGGCCCGTACCCAGTGATTGAGGCCTGTGAGCTCCTTCTTGAGCTTCAGCTCTGTGCCCACAATGTCCCAGACCTGCAAGGGAACAGAGCAGCTGGTGACCCAGGGCCCAGAGACAGGCTCAAGGCAGGCGAACGTCCACCAGGAGCCACCTTTGCTGGCTCTCTAGCCCGATCCCCATGAGGGCTGTTCCACCTTTCTTCCCTCAGACCTCCTCCTCCTGTCATACTTTATCGAGGCCCTGTGCTGACAGCTCTTTTCTCCCTGACTCATTTCAGTCTTTCGACATCCTCCCTGACTCTTTCCTTTAGTCCCGTCCCTGATGAAGAGGTGGGTGCTCGCCTGAAAGGCCAGCTCCTCTAAATGCGCCCCTGATCCAGGCCCTGCCTGTCTTCCCTGGCAGAATTCCTCTGTCATTCCTCCCTCTAATATCCCATCTCTCCCATCTCCTGCTTTCTTCCCTGCTGCCACCTTCCCCGCTGGCTAGCATCCTATGTATCTTTCCTTTTTCAGTCTAACTTTTTTTGGTTTGTTTTGGTTTTTTTGGTGAGGCAATTGAGGTTAAGTGACTTGCCCAGGGTCACACAGCTAGTGAGTGTTATGTGTCTGAGGCTGGATTTGAACGCAGGGGCTCCTGATTCCAGGGCAGTGATATCCATTGTGCCACCTACCTGCCTCTCAGTCTAAATCTCTATTGGTTGCTTCCACTTTTTCTCTTATTCTCTTCCAAACCTTTTGTGGCCTTGTCACACCTAATGGCCTCTTGTCCACACCCAGCCTTCCTGACACTGCTGCCCACCTTCTCTTCCTGGAGAGGCTCTCTTCTCTGGGCTCATGTGACATTGCTTTCTCCTGGTTCTCCTTCTCCATGCCTGACCATTTTCTCTTGGTTTCTTTTGCTGAATCATCGTCCTTATCATAGCCTCTAATTGTGGATATACTCCCAAGGCTCTGTCCTGGGCCTTCTCTCTACACTCTCTCCCTTGATGAATTCATAAGCTTCCATGGATTCAGTGTACATGAATCCTATATCTATTTGTTCAGTCTCAGTCTCTCTCTTGAGCTCCAGTACTGTGTCACCAACTGCCTTTTGGACATTTAAAAAAATCAAATTAATTTTTTTTTCCCCAAATGAAGATCTGCCTTCTTTCCCTGACACCTACCTGTCTCACCCCACCCTCACATTGAAAAAGCAAGAAAAACACCACCTCTGTTATAAACCTGCCCTACTGGATATTCTGAACTGTATGTTCTATCTCAAACTCACCTCACTGCCAAATCTTGTTATTTCTCTCCCATGTATTGCCCAGCATCTCTTGTGGGTATCTCCTCCCCTTGATTTCCCTAACTATCTCCCTGGTTCAGGCCCTTGTCACCTTTCACCTGGCCCACTGTCTCCCCAGTGCATCCACCACGCCGCCATCACAAGCAGGTCTGATGGCATCAGCCCCACCACCCGTCATTACCCCTCGGATCAGACACTAGCGGCTCTGCTCGGCAGTGACAGCTCTTGACAGCTCGGTCCCTTTCAATCTTGCCACTCTTCCTTCACGTGCCTTCCCTCTATCTGCCCTCAATGGGCCTTTTCGCTCTTTGGCCCCTTTCTTTGGAACGCTCTCTCATCACCAGCACTCAAATAGAATCCCTGGTTCTCTTGAAAAATCCAGCTGCTAGAGCTCTCCCTTTCAGAACTACCCTGTATTCATTGTCTATATTTATATACATGGAAATAAAAATGGTGTCTCTCCAGTTAGAATATAAGCTCCTCGGGGGCAGATTCTTTCACTTCCCTCTGTTTATCTCTAGTGCTTAGCACAACTGCCTGGTGCACTGTCGCTGTTGTTGTTCAGTTGTTTTCAGTCATGTCTAGATCTTTGTGATTCCATTTGGGGTTTTCTTGGCAGAGATACTGGAATAGTTTGCCATTTCCTTCTCCAGCACATTACACAGATGGGAAAACTGAGGCAAATGAGGTTAAGTGACTTGCTCAAGGTCACACGGCTAGCATCTGAGGCCAGATTTGAACTCAGGCCCTGGCACTCTACTCACTGCATCATTGAGCTGCCCCATAGTAGGTACTTAATAAAGCCTTGTTAGTTGATTGTTCTTCTATACTCAAGTAGTACATCCACATGTGCATAGTTATACGTATTATATGTGAGTGCCCTGCTGTCAAGAAGCACTCTATGGAATGCTGGGCAATTGGAGCTTCAGAGCACTATGGAGGTCCAGAGGCCAGGGAGGAGGAGAAGCATGAGCCAGTCTGTGGACTGGTAAGACTAGGTTCACCTGGACTAAGAGCCAAGTTTATGAGACGGTCCTGTCCGGGGGGGCCCTAGAAGCAGCCTACAACTTCTGGTGAAGCCAGGGCAGTTACAAAGACTTCTGGGGCCGAGCAAACAGCTGACCACCCTGCCTCCCTCTCTGCAGGAGAGCCAAGTGGGCTGAGGCTGATGGAGAAGGCACAGCTGTAGTGGACAAGGCATGTGTGCCCTAAGAGCCTGGGCATCAACATGTTGGGGGGAGGCCATGCAGGAGGCCTGGGCGTGCAGATAATGGCTCCTCGTGTCAGAGCCATAATGTGGAGTACCCAGTACTCTGCAAGTACCACCAATGTACACACACACACACACACACACACACACACACACACACACAATAAGGAAAGCAGATCCTAAGCATGAAGAGGACTGAGCAAACCCAATTCCATTTAGGGCTCCCTTCCTCTTCTATCCTGTACTCTGCCTTTAGTAATTTGCCCCCAAAAATGAAGGAAAGCCAGCCCTTACGTAGCTCTCCAGCACTATCAGTCTTTGTTTCCCCCTTTAGCTCACTTCAGACAAAAGATGCTTTTTTCCAAAGGACTTTACTAGCACTTAAGGGAAATACAATAAAATAAAATGAGTATGCCGAGCACAGAACTGCTGAGCTATAGCGCACGGGGACCTTGGATGAAGACAACTCTAATTGAGCCATGCAGGCTGGCACAATTTCCTGGACTAACTGTGCTATTATCTACCTAGCATTTTAACCAGGCCCTCCATTTGTGGTCAGTTGCCAAAACCTCTGCATATCCTCTTCCCAATACCCAGACTCCTCCTTCTGATTAAATCTACCACCTTCCCTAACTCTTTCCACCAACTTCGGTGGCACCCCAGCCCTGCACACACACACACCTCACACCACTTTCCAGATGCCACATTTGTATCTCTCTCCCCACTTCTTCTGAGTTATGGTCAGTCTCACATGCCCTTACCTACAGAAATATTCACCAGGCATTGCTAGTTCACAATACTCTTTTCCCAAACCCCTTAAATTATATACAGCTAAAACCAAGCACAAACCCCACCCGTGTGTGAGTGTGTGTGTGTGTGTGCAGGAGGGGTATATCTGGGAGGAATGGTTCATGGTTAGCAGGGCCCTGAGTGACACTCATCTCCAACTCTCTCCGTACCTTGATGGCTTTGAGGGAACCACTGAAGAGCATGTTATGTGAGGAAACCAAAGTGCAAACAGGATTGTCATGAGCTCGGATGGTGTTGACCTTCTGCAGGTTTTGAATGTCCCAGACCTAGAGAAGGAAGAGACAGGAGCTAACTGTGATTCGGTGCTCTGGAGGGGTGTTCTCAGGGCTGGGCTTCCAGCTTCCTGTTTTTCCTAGGTGGCAAACATGTGGGGAATTAGGCTCAGCTAGGCCCTGGTCCCTTCAGCCTCAGTGAGTCTGAGAGCTAGGGTTCCCAAGGGCAAGAGCCCAGCTCCCAGAAACCTGGTCCCTTCGTGTCCTCGACTCTGGGATGCCAGGGTTGGAGGCTGAGTACAGGCTTTTAAACTTGTTCCCAGTTCATCAGTGAGGCCCTGTTCTGTCCAGGGGGAATCGGTTTTCCATGATCTGAAATGAGCAGGGGCTTATGATGCTGGGTCCTAGCTGAAGCTGCAGGCAATGTTAGAAAAGGTGAGAAGGAAGCACGTGGTGGGAGAAGCACCACTGCTTTGTCTTCCAGAGAGTGGAGTGGGCCAGATCCCTAGGTTAATAAGACAAAGGCAGGGAAAGGAGAACTGGTGCCTTACTTAGAGAGCTGCCTCAGGTGAGCAGGCCTTGAGGAATACCCACCGAGGCAGGGATGCAGACCCTCTCCTTGAAGGTCCCTGCAGCTCAGGCTGTGACAAGGGTTCTTAACTCTTTCTGGATCGAAGTGTCCCTCCTACATCTGCCCTGAAGCCTAGTGATCTGGGAACCTGGGATGCCACCGCCATTTCTGCGAGCAGGATACCCAGCCCCTTCCCCACTCTGCCAGCCTGCCCCAGCCCTCTCTTCTGCCACACTCACAATGATGGTACAATCCGCAGATCCACTGTAGAGCTTGCACCTAGAGAATTAAAGGGAACAGTTGCATTACATGGGAGAGACCTCCAGCTGGTACACAGCTCTCGACTGCTGCTCCCATCTGTGGCCTCAAAGGCCATGGTCGGTATCAGACGCCAGGACCCTCATGCTCTTCCTCAGCTTGTCTACCCACAGGACCCAAAACAACTTCTCCAAGCCTCGGGTTTGGTTTTCTCATCTGAACAATGGAAGTGCCCCTGCCATCATCCCCTTCCCTGTCCCTGGTGCTGTGTACTGATGAATGTCTGGAAAGCGTTGTGCAAATATGAGCTGTGAAGTAATTACTGTGCACATTAGCACTGAATAAATCTGCAGTCTACGCACAGCAAAGCTGCTATCTTGGCAGCATCTGGCCATGAGTGGCTTACTGAGCCCCAAAACAAAACATATCACAGGCCCCTTACTCACCACCCCACTTCCACCTGCCAAAGGCTGCTCCCTGTTCCAGTGGCCTCACTGACCCAGGAACTTCCTTGGAGAGCTACCAAAGGGTCACACCTCCACCCTCTGTGCACTCTGCCGATGAGTGCTGATCTCTTGGCCCCGTCACGCATACACAGAGACGTGTGTGCGTGCCATTGCAAGTGCAAAGCTTTGGTGAGAGCGGCCCCCTCCGCCACACTCACCCTTGGATACAGAGTGCGAGCACAATGCCATCGTGGCCTTCCAGAGTCTTCTGGCATTTGTAGGTGGTGCAGGTGTCCCACACCTAACAGGAAAGACAGGGCTCAGACTGCAGACCTGGCCTGGACAGCTGCCCTGACACCAGGCTGGAAAGTCAGCTGATGAGAGGAAGCAGGAATCAAAGAAGGTCCTGTCCATCTGCAGCTGTTTCCTCTCACTCTTGACCATAAGCAATGAGGCCCTAGGCCCCCCCCCAACAAAGAAAACAATCGCCCTCTGGAGATATGAGGCATCATAGCATGGAAAAGCTGACTGAGCATAAGAGTCAGGGGTGGTTGTTGTTGTTTCAATCATGTCTGACTCTCCATGACCCCATTTGGGCTTTTCTTGGCAAAGATATTGGAGTAGTTTGCCATTTCCTTCTCCAGCTGATTTTACAGATGAGGACACTGAGGCAAACAAGGTTAAGTGACCTACCCAGGATCACACAGCTAATAAGTATGTGAAGCCAGATTTGAATTCAAGAAAATGAGTCTTCCTGATTCCAGGCCTGGCACTCTATCCACTGTGTCACCTAGCTGTCCCAAGAGTCAGGGACCCTGGGTTCAAATTCTAGCTGGGCAACTTATAGCCTAGACCTTGGCCAAGTCCCTGAATCTCTCTGTGTCCCAGTTTCCCTACCTACAAAATGAAGGAGGTGAATCAGCTGGTTTCTGAGGTCCCTTCTGACTCCAGGATCCAAGGGCTCCTGGAAAAGCTCCTTCTGGAGTTTTCTAAGCACAGACCCTGTCCCTGTGCTGGCACTCACTGGAAATACAGATGCCGCTGACTCTCCACAGATGGAGCAGAGTTTGAAGGCTTCTAGAAAGGGGCACGGGCACAGGCACTGAGGAGGTAGGGGCAGGGAGGGTGGAGAACGTAATGTGCTTGGGTCCTGCCTGAGGCTTCTCAGGCCTACCTTCAGGCAGCAGAAAGGCTCTCACGAGGCAGGTCTGACCTCTCAGGTCTGGAGTCTCAGAGGAACGAGCCAGGAGACCCCAGCTGCTTCCCCCTCACTTCAGACACACAAGTCTGGGCCTTGCCATGAAGGCTGCCCCATAGGGCAGCAGATGCTGGCACGGGAGGCTCTGGTTAGAGTAGAATGGCCCAAAGAGGTTTCTATTTCCTTATCTGTTTCAAAAACAACAGGCTGTGGGTGATCGCAGCTGCTATCTCTTGCTTCATCCAGGGGTCTATGCCACCTGACAGCTCCTGATGGGTTAGTGGTACCTGGAACCTCCGGTGTTCTTTTCTCCCTCCTAAATACTGTACAGGGTACGCTCATATTCTCCCAAATCAGTGGGGGAAAACACTAGCCTGAGGCCAGCATGGCCATTGTTTAAGGAGGGTGTGCAAAACAAAACCCTTTCCCTGATGGCTCGGCAAGCCTTGTTCCCAAAGCTCCCTGACCCCCAATAGGTCACCTTCAAGGCTGCCAGAGGCTGATAAACTTGTGTGTGAGCTACTGTCAGGGCAACAGGTTCAGTCAAACAGACTCCGGAAAAGGCAGCATTTGGAGGCCAGAGGAGGAAATAATGATACTCTGTTCCCCATCACCCCTGGGTCACAGGGAACAATGGGGAGTCCAGCCGCCAGAATGCCCAGAGCTGTTAAAACCCAGAGTGGCAGGAGACCACAGGACAATACAACACCATAGCCAGGCCTGAAATCTGTGCCCTGAGGGACACATGCTTACGTTCCCAGGGGACCCACCCTACCTTAATGGTTTTGTCTGACGAACCGCTGAAAAGCAGGTCCCCCATGGAGTAGACACAGAGACACCACACAGGGCCCTGGTGGCCCACAAAAGTCCCTTTGCACTTGAAGATCTGCTGAGGGTCATAGGCTGAGAAACAAACAAGCTGTGAGGCCAAGGGCCAGCGGCTGGTTTCTCCCCAGGGTACAGGTTCATGTTGACACTGAGCTCTGCCCTGCTCCCCCCTAACCCCACCCCAAACCTCAACAAACAGGGACCCTTGGGAATGTCAGAAAGCTCTGAACCCTTTGGGAGAAAAGACAGATGGAGGGTGAATGGAATACTTACATCCTAGGATTCCCATATTTAAGCGGGCATTGATATGAGACAGCTCATCCTGAAAAATATGGGCAGCGAGAGTCACGATTCCTGCTCCTTTCCCCTCACTGGCATGGTGCCAGGGCCTGAGGGTCAGCTTCAGACAAAGGCTAGCCTTATGATTAATATCAAGTAATTTCACGAAGGGGAGGCTCCAGCCAACCAATGCCCTATAAAAAGTCCTATTGCACGGGGATGGGGGAGGGATCCCATACTACTTTGAGCTAACTGTACCCATAGTGTGTGTGTGTGTGTGTGCACACGCGTGTGCGTGTGTGTGCACGTGTGTGTGTGTGTCGGGGGGGGTGGCAGGTTAGTCAGGCCCATTCCCTGCCCTATTGCTGGAGCCCCCAGGTTATCACTTAGCCCCCAAAGAGGTAAAGCTCAAGCCCTGTCCCAAGTTCGAGTCCCCTTGGAATTTATGCCCAGGCCTCTAGGAGCTATGGACATCAGAGTGGCCCCAAAGACCAAAGGCTTACATTCAACATGGACGCATCCCGTCGGAACTCCATGAGGTCTTCACTCAGTTTGCTCTGGTTCTCATCCAACACATCTGGAAGGAAGGAGTCGGAAGGCAAGGCCAGGGTTAGAGCCAAGGTGGGCACTACTTAAGGCAAGAGGAAGAAGGACCCATATTCCAGGGAGGGTGGGCAGCGTTGGCATCAAGAGGATGGGGGGCACTCCTCAGCCATCACTTGGGTCAGTGGGCATTGTTTGAGTCAGAGAGACCTTGGGTGTGGGTATTGCTGAGGTGATTCACTAATTCTATTTTACCACCAAGGATGCTCAGAAATTGGAGCATATGATTTCTCTCTCTAGCTCTGTGCTTGACCCTGGGATTGAGAAGACAAGAGGCCTCCATTGCTCCCCAAAGCCTCTCTGCTGACCCTGGAGGGGTTCTCAGGAAATGCTCCACTGGGCACTGGCTTCTGTGGCAGATGAAGCCCGATTCTGGCCAGGATCCCATACAGCTAGACGTGCCTTTCCTCTGTGTGGCCTGGTAAGGCAAAGGGAAGGGGTCTGTATTCCCATACCAAATTTGAGCTCCAGGTTCTTCTCCAGCTGGTCAATCTTCTCTGACAGTTTCCCTAGCATTGACCGGAGGAAGGCGATTTCTTGGTCTTTCTGTGCCAGGGCCACATGCATTTCATGGAAACGGTCATCTGTCTGTTGCAAGAACTCCTTCAGGCCTTCGAACTTACAGGTCTCCAGGTGAGTTTCATAGGTGTCCTGATTTCCTATGAACGTACAGCTGGGGAAAGAAGAAGGCGCGGCTGGGCCCAGACCCAATGTAGCCTATGGATAGTAGACAGTCCTCCCCAAGGACTCCAGCTGGTAGTTGGAGCTACTAATATTCCCAGGGGTAACCCTGCCTCTTCTACTATCTCTCAGCATCCCCTCCTTAGCTTCCCTCCCTGGGGGCATGGAGGAGGCCTGTGTTGGCCATCGAGATGCTGCCAGTGCTTTGGCTCCTGCCCTGTTTAGGCTTCAAATACTCCCCCTCAGAGCTTGGAAAACATTCAGCCAGGATGCACTCCCCATTGTGACTAGGGACAAACCTCTCTAGCTAGCTATCTACAGTGGACAGAGTGCCGGACTCAGAGTTAGAAAAACCTGAGTTCAAAGCCACTTACTAGCTATGTGGGCCTGGGCAAGTCACTTAACTATTGGCCTAAGTTTCCTCATCTGTAAAATGGGGATAATAACTTCCCAAGGAGTTGTTGTAAGGATCAAACGAGACAGCCTAGGTAAAGTGCTTTGTAAATATTAAATTCGTTTGAAGATCCCAGCTCTAATTTATTACTATGACTATTCTTAGAACCTATGAATCCAGACCTCCCTCAAGGGACAGATTTCTTTTCTTTGCACTTGCCAGAGAATGGGTTTTAGTACCCTTTCATAGTCATTTTCATAAGCCAGAGGCCCGGCCAGAACTGCCAGCTGAGGCCCCCATCACATGGGGGGGTCCATGGCCCAGTCAGGATGGTCCCCCTGCCTGCCACGCAGGTCTGCTACAGCCCCACTGTCCAGGCCCAGAGGCCACTCACCCGTATTTGGAGTGAGGACACTTGATGTGCTCGCATTCTTTGAGATGTGCCTCCAGGTTCATTTTCAGCAGAGGGGGGCAGCTGGGGTTGTTGGGGCATCTCACAGGCCGGTAGTCACAGCTGCCTTCATGGTCTCTGCTCGAGGACACGGTAAGAATTTGAGCCCAGACACTTCACCTGAGGAAAGCCTCACCTCCCTAGGCCTCAGCTCCCAAAACATGAATTAGAAGCCCCTCCCTAAATTGGGCCACCAGCCAGAACTAGAGAGAGGTGCAAGTGTAGTAACAAGTAGGGGTATGCTGGCTGTGAAGCTCCTGAAGGGGCTAGGCCCTGGGTGGGGAACCTGCAGCTTCAAGGCCACATGTGGCCCTCTGGGTCTTTAAGTGTGACCCTTTGACTGAATCATTTGGCAGGTTCCCCACCCCTGGGCTAGGCCCACAAGGGGGCAGTCCCCAAAAAGGAGAGGCTAGGGCTGGCAGCGGCCTTGGCACACACCCACAGGGAAGAGCTGCTCCCAGGAATGTTCACTTACTTCCTGGAGCTGAGTTTGATGGTGAAGGGGCAGCCACGGGGGTCTACCTCGAAGGTGGCGGGCTTCCCACTGCCCACGGTGCGGCAGCCATGCTTGCAGTGAATGAAGAGCTCGCCAATCTGCTCGGCCACGGCGATGTTGTTCACCACCACGGTCAGCTTGGCGTTGTCCACTGGGCACTTCTCTGAAGGAGGTGGGGGATGGGGCAAGTGAGGAGAGGGCTCTGTACGCTAAGCAGGGTTCCACAGATGGGAACCAGAGACAACAGCATTAATGTGTTCTGTGCTTGTCCTCATGGTTGTTCTGCCCCTATCCCCCGGGAGGGCTTCGAAGCGCCCAGGAAACGAAGACCCGAACCTCCCTGGTTGGACAAGGCACCTCCCTTCCAGGGAGCTGGTAGTCAGGGACCGGGGACTGGAGTGAGCGAAAAGCCTTGTCGGGGGAATCGTCTCCCTGCTGGGGCCAGGCCTTCCTTCCCTGGGGAGCCTCTGCTTGCCCACTCCCTTCCCGCCCCACCTGCTCACAGTCCAGCCTGTTGATGCGGGTCAGAGAAGCAGGGTGGGTAGTGACTGCAGGGGGGGCTCATTTGAGAACTTTCAGTCTCTAGGGAACTATTTTCTATATCAAATCACCCCACATCCTTATCTGAAGGAGAATATAGGTGAACAGGCTGGTACTATAATAAACTGAGTGCTGGACTTGGATTCAAGAAGACTTGAGTTCAGATCTTGCCCCAGATACTTACTAGCTATATGATCACGAGCAAGTCATTTAATTGCTTCCAGCCTCAGTTTCCTTCTCTGTAAAATGGGGATAATAATAGCACCTACCTTACAGGGTTGTTAGGGTGCTCAAAGGAGATAATATATATAAAGTGCTTTCTAAACTTCAAAGTGTTATGTAAATGCTAGTTGCTATTATCATTATTATCATTGTTATTATCCCCAGGTTATAAATGGGGAAACTGAGGCCCAGCAAAAGTGGCCTCTATCAAACTAGTGTGCCGGCATGGATCTGGGTCAGGGTGTTCCTGGAAAAGGCTAGGCCTAGCAGCCCCTGTCAGCCCTAGCAGGGGCAACACAAAGACCCTGA